ATGTTCTTATTCCAGTTGTATTATATTCTTTGCCTGAAGTGGCCGAAACGTTGCAAAATAAATCCATTTAGCAAGAGTGTAGAAAGTATTTTTATCTACTTCTTTTTGTTGTTTTAATTCTATTAATGAATTCCATTCTTAAAAGAGCACTATATTTGATTGATAAAAAAGGAAGACTTTATTTAACTTAACTCAACAGTAGCTACACAGTAGAGAGCTCACTAACAGTAAGGAAGTTAAACAAAACGAATATAAGTTACGTCAGTTAAAACACATAGACTGAAAGCTCAACAATAGCTACACAGTAGAGAGCTCACTAACAGTAAGACACAGAGACTGAAAGCTCAACAGTAGCTACACAGTAGAGAGCTCACTAACAGTAAGGAAGTTAAACAAACGAATATAAGTTACGTCAGTTAACACACAGAGACTGAAAGTAGACTAAAAGTTCAACAGTAGCTACACAGTAGAGAGCTCACTAACAGTAAGGAAGTTAAACAAACGAATATAAGTTACGTCAGTTAAATGTGTTTTAACTGACGTAACTTATATTCGTTTGTATGAATTCCTTCCAAAATAAAAAGTGCATCTGCTATATCTCTAGGGTTCTAGTGACATATTTACATAACGTTGCATTGCACGGGTGCATGGCTCGGCATGTAGCGTTCGATAACAACCAAAGAATTTCAGTCAAATTTCATATATGTTTAGATTTCATCTAGGGTAACTATAATTTAAAATGTTTTCCGATTGTCTGTCCTTAGGGTGGTAGATGTGGGTGTGAAGTTAACTGAAATAAATTAACATATGTGTTTGTGTGTATTCAGCGAATACTAACCAAACGCAGGTAACTAAAAAAAAAAAAAAACAATTGTAAAGTATAATGATTTCACTTTACTGTTCAAGTTTCTCCTTCCGATTCAAGTTATTTGCACCTTGTGGGGATGAAGGTGTGTGATGTTGTTTTATTCTACGTTTATACACAGGTTATTACCGTAGTTATTACCCTAACACCCATTCTTACTTTTGTTACATGTTAGAGAAAAACCCGTAAAGAAAATAACAATTATGAACTCTCATGAGTAAGGGTAGAACTTAAACGTTCTTTAGCCAGGTTTTATATCAAAGAATATGCACTTTGTAATCGTTGCGATCTATACTAAATATCTGGTTTATCATACCCGGTTTTTTTAATTGATCCCGCTACACAAGCGTATAAGATATTTTCAGAATACGTTTGCTCAATTCTAAATCCACTCTAATGTGTAAAATCGCTCTAACTTTTAGTGTTTTTTTTTTCATGGTTTACTTAGTATTAAGTTATGATCAAAGTAGCTCTCTATGGACTTACAACGCTAAAATTCGGGGTCCGATTCCACGCGACGGACACAGCAGATAGCTCATTGTGGCTTTGCTCTAAAACTGATCAAAGCAAGTTACCTTACGTTCTTAACTATCTTTCAAACTTCCCCATGATCATAGCTTCCAAATGTTTCATCAGTAAACTTTCAAAATGAAAATAGTTTTATAAGATACCAAAGTTTAAAGACGAATAAAATTATATTAAAAATCTCTATCAACCAATTCAGAGCCCTTAGCAACTGTTAGTAATTTCAGTCAGTTTTTCTTCCAAGTTTTAATAACGCCATTTTGATAACTAAATACCCCAGCTTTTAAGGGTTTGAGAGTCACAATCAAAACTTTATTATGCTTTTATAACGTTTCTGGTTGGCAACTATTCAGAATTATCAAGTTAGTGTTCCACATATTTTACAGTATTGTTACTTCCAAGAAGGCCCTGGAACCTGGATTTTAAACAAATAATAAACTACGTCGAGAAATAATGGGAAGAAAAACGATGCGTTTCACTAGATGCGCAGCAGACTTGTTTCACTGATGCATTTACTATCCACAGTTATCGAAACTAGTAAAGCCTTATATTTCAGTGTGTCAAAAAAATTGCAATTTGCTTCCT